GTATTTGTGGTGTTTTCATATACTCCAAATGAAATATACAAGAGGTATACTTTGTCAATTTCAATAATGTTTTTGTTTTGTATTAAAATTGATGTTACGTACGTAAATACAATTATATAATATTATATATATATATATATATAATATTATATATATATATATATATTATATATATATATTATATATATATATATATATAGAGAAGCCATGAGTGACAAATTAATTAACAGCAGCTTGTTGTAGAGTTGTTGGATTAAAATAGTCTAAGTTGAAGGAGATGGCTAAGGTATTTTGTCGGTTTGGCTTGTCCTTTGCCATTTTTAAGTTTTTCTGTTCTTCTGTGTCTATTGAGGTTTGTTTCATGGGATTTATCTTTTTCTTTTTGTTTGTTTCATGGATTCGGCTCATTCGGTGTCACTGCATTTCTCTGAATGGGCGAATGCCAGTTATGCTGATGGCTCAATGACCTTTTATAATCACTTTTACTAAATACACATTTATTATATTTAAAATATCTCTTTAAACTTTATCTAATATTAAAAAAAAGTACAAAGAGGTATACAAAGAGCTATACAAAGAGTCAAATCTAACCCTTAAAAGAAGAAAAAAAAAAGAGAGAGAAAGAGGCAATCATGAATTTCAAGAGTTGGATTTGACTATTTGTATGACTCTTTGTATGTCTCTTTGTAAGGGTAGTATTACTCTATTAAAAATAATCCTGTGCGGGTTCGGATATCGGCCCTTTTTTGAAGGAACCGGTTCTGGTTCCTTAATAGCTGAAACCGAAACCTGTTTTACACGTTCTGGTTCTGGTTTGGGTACCTGGTAAAATTCAAGCGGTCCCTATTTGTTTAAAAAATAACAGATAAACCCTTAAAAGTTACAAATACACCCCCATCTCACAACGAATATTGACCATTGGATTATAACTCGTGTACCAATCACTTTGAAAAAGCTTTCTTATAAGCTAAAACCCTAAGCACCGCTTGTAAACAAACTAAGCCAAGTTCTATCCCCATATTGTAGATCTCTTTTCTTTTCTTATCTTCTTCTTCTTCTCCTTTTTGGTAGTTATTAAAAGAGGATTTGTGCCGAATTTTAAAATATAGCAGGAAGAATTTGAATGTCTGGCCAAATTGATTTTTTTTTATGCTTTGTTGATATTTTGTATGAATAATGAAAATTTTTTTATGCCAAATTGGTTTTTTGTATGAGTGATGAACATTCTGTTAATATTGATGTTAAATGGCAGAATTTGTTGGATTTGGATTTCATGGTTTTTCCTTTATTTATTTACTTTATTTTTTTTGTGTGTGTTGTGTTCAATATGATGAGAAGAAAATGGAAGGAAAAAATAGAGTCATTTTTATTTAAAAATTGGTTTTTGTGTTGCTGTGTTCAATATAAGTGAGAATAATATGAATAGAACAATAAAGTTTTTTTATAAAGAAATAAAGGTTATTTGTGGTGAATTAATTTTAATAACAAGGTAAGGACATCCATTAAATTAAGTTTTGAAAAAAAGCAAACAAAACATGACAAAATTCCGGAAGACATCAGGTAGAACTTCAATTGAATCGTAAAATTTTACAATGGTCCCTATATTTTTCTAATATTTTTTAGTCCCAGTCCCTGAGGTGGTGGAACAAGAACCAAACCTGTACAGTATCGGTTCCTAATTTCTAGAATCAGAACCTACCCTATGAGAGCCGATTCCGAGTAGGAACCGAAACCAAAACTAGAGTACCCCTCGGTTCCAATTTCAGTCGGATCTTTTGCACACCCCTAGCATTTAGTTAAGGGAATGTAGTATTATTGGGAATGTTATATTAATAGAAAGATAGATTACATTGAAGATTATTGAGAATGTTTAGGAAAATGTGTTTGGTTGACTGGAATAAATTGGTGTGTATATTATATTCATATTTTTGGTTGGGAGGTAAATGGGTGGGTAGTCCTTTTAAAATATTAATATAATATTATTTTTATTATCATTTTTTTAAACCTTTACATTTGAAATTTTGCTAAAACACTCAAACTATATAAAACTTTAATTTGTAGCAAAATTACTCGCACCCACCCCAAGCCATTGCTAGCAACCAGCCACTACTGTCGACGTCGTTAGAAGTCGCTTGAATGGTGTACAACCAATTGGGATTCATGGTCAGAAACGGTCAAATCTGATTGTTTCACAGCCAAAGATGTGGTCAGGATTCATGATCAGAAACGGTCAGATCTGACTGTTTCACAGCCAAACATGTGGTCATGAAACGGCCACGAATCTGGCCATGATCTGGCTGTTTCCAGCCAAAACGAAGGCCGAAAACGGCCAAATCGCCGTAGATCTGATCTTTTTTTGTCAAATCGGTGCACGGCTGGCCAGATCTCGCTGATCATGTGCCGATATGGCAATTGCCACCGACGGCTGGCGATGGTCTTGGGTGCTTAAGAGTATTTTGTTAATTTTTAAACTTTTTTGTGGCTAGGGTGTTTTAGCAAAATTCTCAAATGTAGTGAGTCTAGGCTAATTGTTATTTGGTAGATATTTGAAGGCAATTGTATCTAAATGGTATTTAATTTTGGGCAAAATAGGTATAAAATCATATTACCTCAATAATCTTTTAATAACATCCCCTAGTAAGATAATTTGATTATCCCCAATATTGTCAATAGTAAACACTATTTGCAATAAAAGATTACCATAATATTTTATTACTAACAAACCAAACAAGGAAATTTTGAAAATTAAACGAAGATTATCGAAGTAATCTTATTTTACCTTGAACCAAACGCAGCCTAAGCTTGATTAGATTTTTCGTTTAGTCATTTTCCTCAATTTTAAACTTAATTCAATTTTTTTTTGTTACATCCCTCCTCCCCAATTTAAAACTTGAAGCTTACATTTTTTTATTTTCATAGTTTTAGTAATATATTTCCATGAAATAAAACAAAAGTTTCAATGATTATTAAAATTTAGGGTTAGAGCTTTATATAAGAATTAAAAGTTTAAAAATCAAAACTAAAATATAAAATGAAGTATAAGTGTATTTAGAATTTTATAATGTCATTTCTAGTAATTTTCATTAAGATTAAACTTGTAAAAAAAAAAAAAAAACCATAAAAACATTTAAAAGTGTATTAGATTATTTAACATATTTATATCATAATAAGTAAATTAAATTGGCATATAAATATAATAAGGATAAAACGGTGTAAAAGCATAGAGTTACTGTGTATTAGATTAAATGAATAAATAATTTATAATTCAATATGGTTAATAGAAAATAAAGATTAGGAGTTCCATTATAAAATTTGAGGAATGGGCTTCAGTAAAAATGCCCGTCCCTAATCTTTTGATTTGAACAAGGGCAAGTAAAGGGACTACTTAAAAAATTAGGCTTATAGTCGCCAAAGCCCAAACCAAAAACCATATACATGACACCACACACAAAATCTAAAACGCTAACTACTACCAAAAATCTAAAATCCTCACTACTTTTTAAAAATGCAATATATTTATTACCATTGCTTTTATATTTTAGTTATATTAGGATTAAGTTCTTTTAATTGATTACGATTAAATTTATGGGCAAGTTTTATCTTAGGCTTAGAGTTATCAATATTGAATCCAGTTCAATGGGCTTTGAAACTCCTTTTTGTTAAGTTTTTTCTTGGATAGAGTCTATTTGGACCTATTGAGCTTCCATAACAAAAAGGGGCATAAATAAATACTAATTATATGATGTATCTGATTCATACATAATATCATGAAAAATAGATACAGATTTTTATTGTTACTTAATATCTTCAATATGTTTGAAAAGGTATTTAAAAATATCAAATTAATTTGAGGAAAAAAAATTTGATTTAGTGCCAAACATGTTAATATTTGCTCATACTAAAAAGTTCTATGTGAATTTGAAAAATACAAAAGTTGGTGCATAAAAAAATATATATACTTTGTGGTGCAAATAATTATTTCGTGGGTGCATATAAAAAAACTCTTTGGAAATGGTAATGTTAAACTTGAAATTAAAAATCCTTCATTGGAAACTTTTAACCTCAAATTGATACCCATTAAATGTATTGAAACTTAAAACAATATACATGAAATATTTAATATAAGACATGAAACTAAAAACCTTGCATATGAAATAGACCGAACTTAATTGTATCCATAACAATAGATTCGAAACTATTAACACCAAGTTAGAAACCTTTAACATAGAATTAGAACCCATTAATAGTTCTTGAAATTAAAGACAACGTAAATGAAATATACAATATAAAACTTGAATATTTTAATGTCAAACAAGAAATTATATGAACTTGATACAAAGAACATTTAAATTGAAACTGTGTTAAACATGAAATGTTTCGCATTAAACCTGAAATAAAAGGCTTTTATACTAAACACTAGAAATTTGAAACTTTTGAAAACCTACTAATTCCAATTTAATTTATAATCTCTAAAATTATTTTCCTTATCTTTAAAAAATTAAATTAAATTATTTTAATATTTTAAATGGAACTTTAATTGAAAAAAAGAATAAACTCTATGAAATTTTCAACTAAGTTCTTGACACATGTAACAAAATATGAAATTATCCAAACTTGATACTAAGAACCATGAAATGAAAAGAGTTTGACACTAAAAACTAGAAATTTGAAACTTGTAACATTGTGATTAAGAGTTTAAAAAAATTATTTTCTCATAATTTAATTTGTTATTTTTAAAAATAAATTATACTAAAAAGAAAATTATTAAACATTTTAAATTAACTTTTGTTTAATGAAATAATATTGCCCATGGCAAGCTTTACTTAAAGAGCAAAAATTTAGGAGCTCCGTATCCTTAAGGTAGCAATGCCAATGCCCATTAATGATAGTTAATTAGTTATTACAAGAAGTGGACTTCGAGGCTTAAGAGACAAGACCCAGACCTTAGCTTCAACTCTTCTAAACGACTAACTAAGAAAGCAACACTCTTTCTCCTGCACCGCCATGCGGTTCCCCGCGGCGTCGAGAACCGGCGGGGGCCTCGGCGTCGCCGCCATGTCTTACGTCTTAATAGACTACCTGCGTCACATTTCGCCGGCGTGGCACGCGCGTTTGCAGCCGTTGCTGTGGACTGTACTGGCTCTGATCGCCGTAACACGCGTGCCCTTTTACAAACACTGGACCGCCGAGTTCAAAGCTGCAATTCCGTTTCTCGCTTCTATGATTTTCATGCTCTCCGCTCTGCTCTTTGAGGCTTTGTCCGTACGTTTTGTCACCGCCGTGCTTGGCCTCGATTGGCACAGGTAAATTACTGACTTGACTTTCATTTTTAGTTTGTTTTTGTTTTGTGTTTGGTTTTGAATAATTTAAAGTGGGTCGAGTTTGTTTTGTATATTTTTTTTTTGGCTCTGTGTCGAGCTTGATTTGTGTTCTAGTTTTACCTGTTTATTTGTGTGTTTTGTGATTAGTTAAGCTTGATATTTTGTGGGTCGAATTTTGTTTTGTGTTATTTTCGGATCTGCTTTTCTACCCAGATGGTGAATTGATTGAAAATTATTGTGGCATTGTTTATATATTTGTTTATTTGCCGCTTACTTGCAGTGGTCTGAGTTGGGTTTGTGTTCGTTTTGGATTTTGTTTTGGTGCGTGGAGTTTGATTCTTTTTGGTTGATCTTATTTTGTTGGAAAATGAGGTTTTATGGGCGTGGATGAGAGAACTTAGATTTGATGTGTTTGCAAAGCATCACTCTTGTTTATAATGACTTTCAATGCCACCGTTTGTACTCTTGATGGACTGTAATTAGTTTCTGGATCATGATTTCTTCCAGATTTTTTTTCCCACATGGTTATTTGTTTTATATCAATCGTGCCACTGTTTATTTGCATGCATCTTTGAAGGCATTTTGTAATCATTAATTTCAAGGTATTGTCTAGATCGCCACAGTGTTATTATGTCTATTTTGGGGGTTTTATATCCGTGTATGGATAAATTCATGGGTGTGATTGTTTAAGAATTGAGAAAGTCTCAGTTGACAACTGAAAAATATTTATGATTAGGGCAGCAATTGATGCTTTTCTCCTTTTGTTCTCTTCTCTCTCTCTCTCTCTCTCTTTCTCTCTCTTATTTCTTGCTTTTTTGGCTTAAAGCACATCTCAACATGACTGGAACAAAAAAGCTAATGCCAAGGACTCAGCCTGAGAATGGTAGCCACAAAAGCATTCCCTTTTACATTTGCTGGTCCTTTGAGTCCAATGCAGCTAAAACATTTCTTGTTTCCATATTGTTCATGGTTTCATGCTTTCTCACTGTGCTGATTTCCAGTGTTAATTGCTCCTACTATTTTGTCCTTGTTATTTGTATGAACTTTATGGTATGATTTTTGTGTTGAAAATTAATTGACTAGATGATGAATCAGTATAAATTTGAAGAATAGGGTTGTTCGTTTTGTGTGATTTTAGCATTATTATCTGGGTAGGTGTTGGTGTACAATGTTTCTGGATCACTTATATGGCTCAAATTTGTATTTGTTCTTTGTGACTTTGCCCGAGTCTCTCTTGCTGAAAATAGTGGTTCCGAGCAGGAAGTGGAGTAACCCAGATGGTGAAATTTGAGGTGCTGGTATTTGCTTTGTAGTCTTTGCAACTTGACCCCAGCTGTAGCCATTAGTCTTTTTAGGGGCAATTTTGGTAGCCTCCTCTAATTTTGAGTGCACTCTAAACACCACTAGAGTTAGAGAAAACTTGCTGTCATCGTGAATTCAATTTGAGGAATCATGTTTGATTTGTGTTTTTTATAAGGTTTTTTAGTAGAATACAAGCCTTTCACTTTTCAATGGTTTGTGAAAGAGGACATCGGAGATGTTTTTTTTCCTTGGTGTTTTTTTTTATTTTTTATTTATTTTTTTTTTTTTTGGCATAATTTTGTGGATTATCAATGTTAGTGGCTGATGGCTGATTGTACAGATATGAAGTGGTGGGAACTAGAGATGCTGGATTTAAATTTATGTGTTTAGCTCTTTGATGAGGAGCTTGATTTGTTGTTTTCACTGTTCATTAATCCAAGTATCAATTAATATACACTAAAGGGACTTAATTTCATGATTCATCGCGAACCATGTTGAGCATTTATGGGTTTTCACGCTCTTCATGAGATGGTGTTACTATGGTAGGCATGGTCACATGTGTTGAGTATGAGGTTTACCAAGGAAGTCCAGTTATTTGTATTAAATATCTTTTTCACAGCACTTCCAGCAAGGACATCAATATTTTTATTTTACTAAACATAACACTTGGTAAGTTGCTATAAGTATAGGCCTTGTAATCTTATGTTCATTCCCTTGGTTCATTTACTGTTGAGTTCTCACTTTTCAGCTTAAATTAGCAAACATACAACATTTTCAGTTGTTTAAAAATTGCCAAATGAGCATCTTTATCTCATAGTGATCCCAAATTGTTCTGTTGTGTGTTGTGCGCTTGAACAATAGTGTCATCTCATGTTTCATTACTCTTGCAACTTTTCTTGATGGGAAATACCTTCAGTTCTTAAATTATTTCCTCTTCAAATATTACTTTATGGCTTAAAAACAAGATAATTGATTGGCTTCACAATCTGCAACAGTGAAACGTCTCCACTTCCTGACACTGGTCAGTGGTTGCTCTTGGCTTTAAATGAGAAACTTCCTGGAACAGTCGTTAAGATATTGAGAGCTCGCATCATTGGGTTGCATCATTATCTAATGTTGTTTATGATGCTAGCTTTTTCCGTTTTATTTGACTCTGTGAAAGCTCCTGGCCTTGGGCTAGGTGCAAGGTACATGTTCACCATGACAATTGGTCGTCTCCTTCGGGCCATAACATTTGTGTCTACCATTCTTCCATCAGCTCGGCCTTGGTGTGCTTCAGCTCGGTTTCGAGTCCCTAACTATCCTCATCCCTGGGCACAGAAATATTATGTCCCCTATGCTGAAGATGCTAATTCTATTAATCAGATAATAAAACAGGATATAGCTTATGGTATGTCTTTTCTATTTAAATTAATTTACTTTTTTTATTCTGTTGTCTGGATATGTTTGGATTCTCTTTGATTTGCTATAGGCCCCAATTGCCTTGCCGGTGCTCAAGTCAACTTCAGCAGTACATGAATGAATGGTGGTCTTTGTTTTAATTCACCACTATAGTTTAACTAAAAACAGTTGGATCATTCGGATGTATCAAGCCATGCTGGTTTCTTGTTGTGAATTTCTAAATGAGATGTGTGCCTTATTAATTGCTTATAATGTTCAGTCAATACTCATCCAATCTAATAATGGCTATGATAGTGCTTTCTGGTTTGGTTTGAGATTCAAGATTCCTATCATTTTTAGATAGACTAAATTTTTTAATCAAGTTCCTAGCAGTTCTTTCTGTCAATTGATTTTTATTGTTGGTGAAAAATAATGAATATTTTGTTTTTTAGTCATATGTCCTTCAATAGTATGTGATATTTAAATACATTTTAGTTGTTTCACTCTAACTGGAAAGTGCTGTTGATAGCTGGCGTTGGAAGCTACCCTAGTGACTACCAACCAGATTGGGGTTCAATGAGCTTCCTAATTGACTTCCTACGACCTACTGCTTCAGAAGGATCTTCATGGTACAGTCTGCTGACAAAGGCTGGAGGTGGCTGCAACGACCTTATATACAGTGGTCACATGCTTGTCGCTGTACTGACCGCAATGGCTTGGACGGTATTTATCCCATCCACTGTCTAGTGCCACTAACATTATACGAGTAATTGCCAATTCTTAACAACCTTTGTTTGTCATTAAAATGTTTACAGGAGGCTTATGGAGGCTTCAGCTCAGCTCTCATATGGCTACTTGTATTGCACAGTGCCCAGAGAGAAATACGTGAACGCCACCATTACACTGTCGACTGTATTGTAGCCATATATGTGGGCATCCTGCTCTGGAAGATGACTGGTTTTATCTGGCCAACCAAGGACGCAGCCAAAGGTAAAAGACTTGACAAACTTGAGAAAATCCAAGGCAGACTATTCCAGGCAGCTAAGGACTCGGACATGGACAAGATCAACGAGTTTCTCAAAGAGGTTGAGTTGGGCAGTCCAGAGAGCCAGCTCAAAGGCCCTAGCAAAGGCATGTGGTTGTTCGCTTGTGCAACGATTTTCTCAGCTCTCGCTATCGTTCTCCTTGCCTTCACATGGACAAGCGATGGATGATTTAATTGTCGTCTTACACGGATTCTGACTCTGGTTTTCGAGGTTAGACTTTACTGTAGTTCTATGTAATGCAATGTTTTGTTGTTACAGAAAGTTTGATGGGGTTCGTTTCATTAGAGTATTTGTCAGAAATGGCCCCAGAAATGAGTCAATTATGAGGCTTGACCACGTTTATTTATTGCATACAAGAATGACTAGTAGCAAATTTTATCTGACCATCGGATGGATCCTTGAACATTTGTTAATTTTCTTTAAACTGTTGTTTTCATGTTAAGATTATCAATGACAAAATATGATGTTTCGACTTTATTTATAATTTTTTTTGAAAAATATATATTTTTCAATGCATCAATTTTATCGTCAATGACAATTTATTTTCATTAATTGTTTATTAGTGAATTAATAAGATCTCGAATAAGACCAGCTTACAATGTCTATATATATATATATATATATATATATAATATCTTTCTTATAATTTTTGTATTTATTTACTGTGATATCTCATATTACAAAGATATTTACTGCCATTTTTACTAATTAAAATATATTTTAAAAAATAAAGAAAAGAGATGATAGAAAATAAACGACTAGATAGCGCGTGGGGTTGGAAAATTTCAAAAAACAACGGAGGCTGCGCTAAAATAACCATATGGGCAGTGGTCAATTAATATTTTTAGATATATTATCAAGATGTTTTCATTAATTGAGTCCTTAATAAGGATGATTCTGGAATTTATCTAATTATCAATTTTAAGATTTTAAAAAATTATTTGAGATTCGCATAAATTAACTCCACACACCGTTTAAAAATAAAAAAGCTGCGCCAAATATCACCAAACTGGTGGGTTCCAACAGATATTCTTCACTTGAGATAGTTTAGTACACTCCCAAACCACCGACCACTCGATCATCATCAATTACTCATTTCCCCACCGTTTGATCCACCATCCACGACTCCCAACCCACCAATCCCACCTAATTATTCTACACCCTCACACACCAAATCCAACCGTCGCTCCATAACAAAACAACTGGCACACGCTTATCTTCGCTTCACCTCCTCCTCTCTCCTTTTCAACTCTGCAACATTTTGTCTGTCTCTCTCACTCTCTCTACCAACAAATGTTCTATCATTGAGGTTGAGTTTATTGTTCTTCATATAGTAGGAATTCTGCCTATGCTTTATAAGCATTCCTAAACTATGTGATTCATTAGATCATCAGATGGTGAATCCCATAAGACACATTCTGTATTGAATACGGTGGATCCATTCCTGATTCCTTTTCCAACTTCGGAATCCTTGCCATTGTCATCTTCAGCCTTTTCATGCAGCCGCCCTTGTTTTTCTCCGGCTGTACACGTGCTTCCAGAACACATACTCTGGCTACATGGTAATGATGCAGCTCCATCATTACCAAATGATGCTGTGCCGTAGTGAAATCCATTATCAGATATAGGGAAACCGCTGCAGCCTCCGGCAAAATTTGCCGACATTGCTCCTGTAGGGTCCCAGGGCTTGTCCGAGGGCAGCATTTCAGGTTCTTGTATTACCCTTGATAGATTTAGCTTGATCTTTACGGTAGTGTCATCTTTTTCATCATTTTTACTGGTAATGTAAGTGGCTGTAGTGTTCATTGGTGCTGATTGTTGGAGCTGGTAGTCTATTCTTTTCTTAGTTAGCAGGTGGAGCATTTCATCTTTGAAGCAGCCGAGGGCTGCTTCCGCAAGATGAGCCACCTGAGGCGGTGCCAGCGTGGTGGCGATGTCCGCCATCAGGTGGGAAAACGGCTTGTGGGTAACTGGATCGATACCTATGCCTGAAAGCTTCTTTTTCAGCTTGGTATTCCAATGATTTTTAACATCATTATCAGTCCGGCCAGGTAGCTGAGCTGCAATTAGTGCCCATCTGCATTACACATTTTCGAATCAATCAATTAGTATTCTCTGTCATTTACATAGTCTCATTTAGAACATGCATATGCATTGACATACCGATTGCCAACAACAGAGTGTAGCTTCACAATAGCCTGTTCTTCCGCGTCTGAGAACTGCCCGTGCTTAAGATCAGGACGAAGGTAATTCGTCCAGCGCAGCCGGCAGCTCTTCCCACATCTCTGGAGACCTAACATATAAAAAAAATAAAAATAAAACGACTTATTAGTCAAGCTACTCAATTGGGTTTAGAAATTCTTTTATAATTAGAGAGTAAACAAACCAGCATTCTTGGGGATGAGGCGCCAGTTTCTGGTGCCATGTTGGGCAATATAAAAAGAAAGCTTGCTGTCTTCTTCAGGAGTCCATTGCCCTCTTTTCACATTGTCCTTCTCGCAACACGGTATGCGTCCCATCTCTAACTTAATCTTTTTTCTAAACACTTTGCTTATTTTTAAGTAGAAATATTGATGGTGGTTATAGTAAAGAAAAAGGGAGAAAGAATTGTTTGTTTGGTCACTGAGAAAAGAAATGGTGAGTGATATTGTTATATATATGTGAAATGGGGTTAGGAAATGTGCATGGAATTGTTGTTTGTACGAAGAAAGATAGAAATCACATCAAAGGTGCATGATTATATTAAAGAATTCAACGCCATTGAGCGTGTGAGAGATAGGCCGGTAGCTCACCCACGAGACGCCTGGTCAACTCTCTCTCTTTCATTGACTGTGCTTTGAGTTCTTGGGTGGCTGACTTTCTCCTCCTGCTCACACAAAGCCACCTTCTCGTCGTGCAATCAAAATAAACTACTTGGTTTTAGTTATAAACAGTTTAGGAGGTCGCACGTGAGGTGAGGCTCATATACACCTTTACAGCAAAGGAAATCTTAAGGGCCCTTTGAGTCTTTGACTCGTGTGAATCTTGAAGGAATTCCATTTGATCCCTGTAGTTTTGGTTTACTCCATTAAGGACACTTGTTTCAAATATTAGCATTTTGATCCTTTGACTTAAACGAAATTTGGCTGACCATTGATTGTTTAACTTGCAATGGTATAGTATAGAAAACAAATTTTCGTTAATTCATAAAGGGGAATTCTCTTCAAGTTAAAAGACCAAAACGTTACTTAGTATTTGAAATAAGTATCATTGAAAATAGAGCAAAACCAGAGGGATGACAATATAATTCTCTATTGAATCTTTACAAATATAGTTGTTTTGGTACAATAAAAATAAATAACAAACCCATAACATAAGAAATTTGAGCAGGAATGTGAATATCAACAGCAAACTATTCTATACAATCCTGATATTTCTCCTTTCGTATCATTGACAAGTATGCCTTTTTTCTTAGCTTAATTTGGCACTTATAATGCCTTCTATTGACCCAATTAATGCAAACAATGTGACGATGAAGCAGAAAAGGCTAAAAAGTCTAAGCGTCACCCATGTTCTTGTCCAGGCTTCAATATTCTTCTGCTTAAAGTACATCTCCACCGGAAAATATATGGATAAAGGCTGAAGATTCAGTGCTCTGATCAGTCAATTGCTGTTGTTGACAAAACATTTACTGTTCTGAAACACAGCCTTAGAAGATTCAATCTGAATCCTGGTATCAATGGAAGTTTTAAATGGAAATCATTGTATAAAAATCCATGGTTTGGAAACTTCCCAGAAATCCATTTTTCAATAGTTGCAAACAATGGCTGACTATAAACCTGTCAACAAAGATATAAACCCCCGAAAAAAAATTTTAAAAACTTTGATTTATACTGCCACAACTCCAGTGAAACTTGGATTTGTCTCTTACCCACCTTAAATAGTGGGGCTCAGAGGGCATCCCCTTGACTTGAACACTGAACAGAGCTTATTGTCCGTGGAAATGAGTCAAGAGTATCATTTGAGTAAGTTGTTGGGTTCGAGCTAATGAGCACACACTCTGAGCTCTAATATTTGAGGTGGGTAAATAGTGGGACACGCTCCAAGTCCTACTATTGAGGTAGATAAGCATATTACATATAATCTATTGAATAATTGCATTGGTACCTGGTACCCTCCAAGAAGATGAGCCACAATGCAGGCATTTGCGAGGTCTATAAGCCAATATGGTTCATAGAATCCAAACCCTGTTAAAAGGTTTCCTGGAGTATCGTCCCCAAATGCTGCATATCCAAAGCTTCCACACAAGAGGTAGAAAATGGTTGTCACAACTATTGCTATTGTTGAGGCCTTTTTCATGGTCTGGCTTTCTGGTGGAGGTGACTTCAAGGTATTCTTCATTTTTTGCAAAGTTCATAATTCAAGTCAGCCTCTCGAATGCCTAGATTTTTATTTAATGTCTTTACATGCATATATTGGCTTGTTATATGGATGATGTACCCTATGGTATCGAAAACTCACCTGAATCTCAATAGGTATCAGTGAATACGGGTCATAGGTGAAGGCGATGTCTCCTAAAACTTGTGTATCTAGGGGACATGTTAAGATTATTAACGACAAAATATGATGATTTGATTTTATTTATAAATTTTTATTGAAAAATATATGACTGTATTTGTTTTATTATTTAGAGTAAGATTTTTTAAAAAGTTGAGTTGGATTGTTATTACGATGTAGGATTTAAAAATTAATAAAAATACTCCTTAAGTTTATTAATTTAACTAAACACTCTTTATAATAAAAAGTTTAGAAATTGATAAAAACACCCCTTATCCACCCACATTTGTCAGATTCTGACTACCATCATTGGAAGGTGGGCGGAATCTATCCTAATGATGTACCATCGACTGAATCTAGTCGGTCGTATACCAATATAACATTTTTCAACTAAATCTACCATAGATCTTGTTGGAAAATATTAGATCTATGGCTAGATGTGACCTTTTTCAATGCACCAATTTTATCTCAATGACAATTTATTTTTATTAATTGTTTATTAGTGAATTAATAAGATCTCGAATAAGATCAGCTCACAATTTCATTTATATATATAATATCTTATAATTTTTTTTATCTATTTACTGTGATATCGCAATTCTCATATTATAGAGATATTTACTGCCATTTTCACTATTTAAAATATATTTTTTTTAAATAAATAAAAGAGAAATGATGGAAATACACGTCTAGATAGCGCGTGCAGTAGGAAATTTTCCAAAATCAACGGAGCCAAGGCCCAAGGCTGCGCCAAAATATCACCAAACTGGTGCGTTCCAACAGATTTTCTTCACTTGAGATAGTTAAGTATAGTCCCAAAATCCAACCACCGACCACTCTATCATCATCAATTACTCATTTTCCCACCGTCTGATCCACCATCCACGACTCCCAACCCACCAATCCCACCTAATTATTCAACACCCTCCCACATCAAATCCAGCAGTCGCTCCATAACAATACAACTGGCACACGCTTATCTTTGCTTCACCTCCTCCTCTCTGCTTTGAACTCTGCAACAGTTTGTCTCTCTCTCCCTCTACCAAACAAACAAATAAACAGATATTTTTATTCTCTTTTCTCGAGATTCAATTCAAAGATTGGAATGGCGATTTCAGTTTCCGCTTCAACAATTCCTTCCTTGAACACTAAAGCTTCTTCTAGAAACCTCTCCAAACTCTCGTCGCTATCTTCTCTGCAGTTCCCCGTACAGTTCCGTCAGATTCAAATTATTAACAACAGCCGGATTTCATCTCCCTCCGGGCCTCGTTTCCTTCCTCCGGTACTTATTTGATTTGTGTTTTGTTCGGCAGTTATTATAATTACTATTACTATTATTCTTGTTTTTAGCTCATCTGGCTGAAGAATGCTTTGTTTTTAGGATATAGAATTATGTGTAATGTAAAGATTCATTATGGATAGTGAATAATCGTTTATTCTAAAAAGGGAGCTATATTAGCCACAAGATTGCCGAAAATCTCTATAAATGAAATTACTTGTGATGAAAAAGTAATTCAGTGAAAGAAAATAACTCGGGGAGTAAATTTCTATGATTTTCAAGATAGTATGAATGTATGATATTAGTATTGACTTGTGATGTTGGTTTATATTCAATGAATGATAGGAAAGATCCATGTATAGGATTAGGGCCGAAGTTGTTGGCATCAAGGCTTTGTGGAGATGAGTTCCAGAGTAATACAGTATGGCTTCATTAATAGCTATTTAAATAAGCTGTAAAGTTCATCATGTGTGGAAAGCTTTTGGGCATTTTCTAGATGTTTGTATATCTTCACCAGAAGGAGTCAAATTGTACCTCAAGTTTAGAGAATTCGCCTTTTTTAAATTTTCAAACATCCTATTCAATTTTAGTCTTGACGAGTCCTCAAGTCTTCTTCTAATATTGAGTTTTGTAGGATGAGATATATGTTATCTTTCATCGGGCCTTAGCTTAAGTTTGATGTGCTTGAATCTAGTCAAGGACAACTATATCTCAGTTTCAAGAGAGTATTCAGTTTATCTTGGGAGCTGTTGCTAGTAGTCATTTATGTCAAAGTGATGTTTTAGTGCTTGCAAGTGCATGGACTCTATCTGCCTCATTAATGATTTGTTGCCCGTACAGATAAACTTGTATATTAAGACTCTTAATCCCTTATCTTCTGGAAGGAAATGATTTCTTGGCTATGAAATGTTAACTAACGTACCCATCGACTCTCTCATTTTGCCTACTTATTCCAAGCTGATCGTTGTTCTTAAGTTCGAAACAGTTAGGTATGTTATTACTTTTCTCTCTGATGTAGTTATGCCATTCAGTGTTAATGATATTGATAAAGTTTGATCCTCAGTTACTGCAAGCATGTGGTGATGTGCTTTTTATATCAAAGTAGGCAGTCAACATATTGACTTTGTATTTTGGGTATTCACGCAAATATGATTTTACTGTAGGTTTCATTGTGGAAAAGAATCCCAAATAACATGTTTATTTCTATTCTTTAAGCTTCTTGTAAATTTTCTTTTAGAATTATTTTGTTTGAGAGCATATATATGCTCAGTTATTTGGATTGATTTTATTGGTTGTTTGTATTAGGCCTGGCTTTGTTGGATGCTTGGTGGGTGACACTTTGCACATTTCACATATTTTGATTTGTTTTTTTTTTTTTTTTTTTTTTTAAATATTATTTTTAAAAAAGGTATTTGTATTTGATTGAACTTTTAAGTTCAAGCTGCTTTTGTTAAACGATCACTGACACGTTATTTGGGTGAAATAACTACTGTAGGTTGAAGCAAAGAAGCAAACATTTTCCTCCCTTGATGATTTGCTGGAAAACTCTGACAACCCTGTATTGGTTGACTTCTATGCAACATGGTAATTTCTTTTCTTCCTTTCTGTTCTTTCTTTTCTTTTCCATGGAAAATAGTTTTTTATGGTATGCAAGTATATTTAATTTACATAATCTCTCTTTTGAATGGTGTGCTGGATCACTCAATTTCATAGATTTTTTTCCGTGATATATCTGCAAATATAGAGTTTTTTCTTGTTGGCAAATGTTGAGTGGAAAGATAAAGAAAGATTGTGTTTTTAATCCTTTGGGCACAGATTCTCTAGGGTAGAAATATTGAAAAGCAAAGAGCTCATATAATGGTTTGCAGGTGCGGTCCTTGTCAATTCATGGCTCCAATCCTTAATGAAGTTGGTGCTGCTTTAAAAGATAGGATTAAGGTGGTGAAAGTTGATACTGAGAAGTACCCAAAGATTGCTGATAAATACAGAATAGAGGCCTTGCCAACTTTCATTTTGTTCAAGAATGGGAAACCTTTTGATCGCTTTGTAAGTTGAATTAGTATTTCATTTTTAGTTTATCTGGATATTGTAACTTTTGCATCTTTACATAACCCTTTGATTGTACTTTGCATGAGCTTTGATAATTTTCTCCCATGCCTGCTTACACGTAGTTGTATGGTTGAATTTTTAGTCAGTCGCCTTAATTATGAGTATCATGATTAGTGGCTTCTGGCGTGATCACTGGAAGTGATTCTTGCTACATTAGCTTTCACATTCTTGGATTCTGTTATGTTCAATGCGTAAGTTCTGGAGATGATCCAGAATGATTGGCATATGTTGCTTCGTATGGGTGATCTCTTTCGTGCATGAAGAATCAACCAATGGTTTGTACATTGTCTAGTTTAAGCCACTTGTAGGCTGCATCAGCAGCATGCATGTATTTTATTGTCGAATTTTTTTCTGCCTCTCCGATTACTGTTTCTTTTTTTAAATTTCTGTCCATTGGGAACTCTTAGATCTATTTTTGAGTTTGGAGCTGATCAATGATTTTCATGTGATTATTTCTCAGGAGGGTGCTTTGACCAAAGATCAGCTCATTGAACGAATTGAAAATTCATTAAGTGTTAAGCAATAGTCTGGTGAGTTCATAATAAGTATAAATAGCAAAACCTTTTCTTTACTGATCATGCCCTCAAACAACCTTTTCGCCTTTCTCCCTCCCATGCAGACGGTCAGGTTCTACTGGAAACTGGTGTAATCGAGTTGTTAGATGGGAACATTGAATTTGGTAAATGAAGAATTGGCAGGATGATACCTCTTCTTCTTTTCTTGTGTATTTGAATAATTGGTATTGTACCAAAAGAAAAAAGTTCGTGATATAACTTGTTCATCTTATCAATCTTGCTGATTTCTGTGAAAACAAAATTTTGGATGAACTATTTCTAGGACTCCTGAGAATTGGCACGATGCTTTTTGTTTCAAAATTTTGGTGTCGAATTCTAGCACTTGGCACTATTACGTTCAATGATCTTGAGAGGTAACCATTGGAACTCAATTTCGATTAAAAAATTTTAGACAAATTTTATGACGACAATTTGTGTAACTATAATTGGATAGGGTTATTGTAATTTAGTTTTTAACTTGTAATTATTATAAATAAATATTAAGGATGCCTGAGTAATACGATACCTATAAAATAAACATCCCAATTTTTTTGGATCTCAAATAAATGTAAAAATCTATCGGACAGGGGGGAAAAAAAGGGATTACGTCAATTATGATTAATTCCTCAGTAATTTTGTTTAAGTTAAATATAATTTATTGATTTTATCTTGAAATTATGTGAATTGTTGAGTAAAACTCAAATGGTGAAAATAATTTACTTGAACCCCTAATGTTCATTAAGAATGGGTATATAGCCAGTTTTTTCTTATCAAGAAAGAGCTGAATTTATCAATTATGTGCTTATGATGAATTATCAATATTTGATTAATCAGACAATTGTGACTAAATTCAAACACTGCCAAATCTCTCAGCGCAGCGGTGGTAGTGGATATTATAGAATAAATTCTTTAACTTTGTTTAATTAGAAGTATCTTCAAACTAATAAACAATATTTATCTAGAAGTAAATAATAATCATCAGTACATCTACAAATTGAATTAAATAAAGTTAGTATGGATTTAGGAAAAGTGATGTAATTAAATGGAGTTGTTTAATTCAAATTTCAAAAACGCCTTCTAAATTAATAAACAGTATTTATTCATATGAAATAATAATAGAAACAAATTCAAACAAACGATTAGTGTCCATTTAGGAAATGTAATGATTAAAATAGTTATTAAGATGAATCAGGAAATCTAATTTTGAAATGATTAGGACTAAACATATTATAATTCATAACACCCTTTCCCCTTCATATGTTAGTTTCAATCGCTCCTACCGTTCTGTGTTCTACTTCACATTACCTTTCTCTGTAATTCGTCTTCAACTCTTCAGCATTCCGTCCTCTCTTTTCTGTTTTTTTCTCTTGAAAAAGGAAAAGTCGAATTTCCATTGAGTCAAGAGTAAAATGTCTAATATTGGCCTAGTAAACGAACCCTGTTACAAATTCATACGATCTTGTCCCTTCACCCTACTATTACCCGCCATTCTGTCGTCTCCATTGTTTCATTCTTCTGCTAATTACCAGCAACCTTACCCTGGTTTTTCATTCTTCTGCTAATTACCGGCAACCTTACCCTGTTGTTTCATTCTTCTGCTAATTACCACAACGTACCCTGGATTGTTTCATTCTTCTGCTAATTACCAGCAACCTTACCCCGATCTTTCCACCCTGCAAGCTAATGTCACGTACGGCGATAATGCTTTTGTTGTCAATTTCTCCGGTAAAAGATCCATTCCACCTCATGGTTGGCATTATCACCTACCGTTCATCCCCAAGAAAATATTCCTGTGCAACAGCGCATCAATGCACCTGTGCCTCCTTTGTTCATATCCTAAACCTGAAGAGACAGGGGCATTGTTGAAGGGAGAATTGTGAAACAATAGAGTTCTATTTCAGCGATGAAAATCTTAGAGATGACTACTATTGAGTCACTGATGAATGGGGAGGGATGGGTTTGCATATCAGCAATTGCTGAATTTAGAAGAATGAGGAGATGTGCACTGATATCAACTTCATCCTTGCTGTCGAGGATTCAGCTTTAATGGGTTAAACGGCATATGATACGAGACTTTGCACAACTTCCTGGGCCTTTCAAGCCAATCCGTAGACAATCCTGACGAAATGGAATTGCATTAATTTTCTAGAATTAAGTTTAAGATTAAGATTTTTATAGAACTTGATATATGTAATCGACTTTTTATAATTGAAGTCTTAAGTTTATGATAATTTTTAAATTTTGTGTTTTTTTTTTTTAAATTTATTATAAAATCACTTAAAGACAATTGAAACCAAAGTTTTATATTTAATAGATTCTTCATGAACATATTATTAATTTATTTATTTTTTTGGGAGTAAGGATACGCAATTCCTAATTTTTTTTTATCATTAATTAAAACTTGCCAATTATTTCATTAAGAAAGGTAATTGCTTGATATTACTTAAAAGTTAATTTAAAATATTTAATAAATTTCTTTTTAGTGTAATTTTTAAAAAAAATATAAATTAATTTATCACTAAAATTTTAGTGTCAAACTCCTTTCATTTCAAGTCTAATGTATAATATTCATGTTTAAAGTTAATAGTATCATTTTTACTATTAAAGATTCAATCACATTAAATGTCTCAAGTAACTTGTACTAGTTTCAATATATATATATATATATACTTTTGTTCAAGTTCCTATAGAATAGTTGACATTAGAATATTCAAGTTTAATTTAATATTTTATTTACGCAATCTTTAGTTTCAACATATTAATGGTTCCAATTTCTTGTTAAAAGGTTTTAACTATGTGAATGGGCAGTTTCAGTCTCTTGTTATAGATCAAAGTTCCTTCCATTTTAATGCAATGCTAACATTAACTGTTATTGCATAGGTTATGCATATCAATGAACTGACGACGAAATTTGATTATAATATTTAAACAAGAATGTTTTTTAGAAGTAGCTTTTTTTTTTTTTTTTTTTTTTTTGTATTGTTTGTTTAATTATTGAACATTTAAAAATTGATAATGGCTATATATCTAATTATTTTATATAATTATTATGTTAATGAGATATGGGAGGAAATTGAATGGTGAAACAAATAGATTATTATTGCAGTGATGAAAATCTTAAAAGACACTATTATTTGAAGTTGCTGTGACTGATTGAATGGGGAGGGATGGGCCCGAACTCTGGATACGTAATTACTGAATTTAGAAGATTAAGAGGATGTGAACTAATATCACCTTCACTCTTAATGCTCTCAAGGGTTCGCTTTCATCGAAGTTGACCACCATATGATACGAAGACATCCAGCTTCTGCACAACTTGATATTTCTTCTGGACAACTTGCTGAGGCCTTAGTTTAAGATTAAGGATTTTATAGAACTTAGGAATATTTCGATTTTTTAGAATTAAAGTACAGGATAGAGTAATGACTTTTTCCGGGTTTGCTTTAATGACACTTTTCCACCGAATGTTTTTTTTAAATATCATTTTCTCACCCAAGTTAATATTTTAATACTACTCAAAACCGATTCTGGTGATAAATTCTCTCCGTCCCCACCATTTGACCCTTCAACCTCATCTTTACAAAACTCCTCTTACTCCAGCATTAAATTCTCGTTGTTGTCAACCACCATAAAACTAAGATTTTCTGTTCTTAGCTAATTTCAGTAACGTATTCATCGATCACCACTATTTAATCCACCGACCTCTATTCTACAAAAACCCTCTTACCTTGGCTCTTGGTAACCACCGAATGTTGACTAGAAAAAGTACATTTTGGGTATTATCGAAATATAACTTTGAGTAGGAATTGGTATTTTGAAACCTTGTTGAGTGGGAAAGTGTAGTTTACTCTCTCGGATATTATAACTTTAAATTAGTGTGCTTTTGAATCTACTGAAAACTGGTTAGTTCTCTTTTAATAAAACCACCTAAAAAGTAAAAACAATTGTAACCAAAACTTTTATATTAAAATAGATTTTTCGGGAACAATATATATATTTGGGAATAAGATACGCAATTCCTAAAATTTTGCTTATTAATTAAAGCTTGCCATATTATTCATTAAGAAAGTAATTGCCGGTTATTACTTAAAATTAATTTGAATATTTAATAAATTTCTTTTTAGTGTAATTTATTTTTAAAAATAATAAATTAATTTAGAGTAAATAATTTTTTAAAAGTCTCAAGAACAAAGTTATAAGTTTCAAATTTCTAGTTTTTAGTATCAAACTCTACATTTCAAGTCAAATTAATGAAAAATATTTCATGTTAATGTTAATAGTATCTTTTTTACTATACAGATTTCAATTGCTTGAATGCCTCGAGAAACCTTTTACTAGTTTCAATTTATTATGATATTATTTTAGTATTTTTTGATATCAAGTTTGACATTGGAATATTCAAGTTTCTATTTTATATTTCATTACCTTATCTTTAGTTTTAACTTTATTAATGGTTCTAATTTCATGTTAAAGGTTTCTAAATACGTGGTGCAGTTTCAAGTCTGTTTGTTTTAAATGCAAGGTTTATAGTTGGATGTGTTAAGGTTGAATGATGTTAATGTGGATACAATTTGTCATGCTCTAACCATGATTTAAATTAATCATCTAATTGATAGTTGGAACATAATTTTTCTTTAACATTGCATAGTTATGCATGTTTAAAAACTCATGGTGAATTTGATTATAAATTTTGAAAAAAGATGCTTTCTAAAAGTAGCATATTTTTCTTTTGTATTGTTGTTTAATTATTCAACATTTAAAAATTGATAATGGTTATATATCTAATTATTTATATAATTAATTTTTAATGAGATATGGGAGGAAATTGAATTATGAAACATAATAGATTACTATTTTAGTGCGGAGAATCTCAAAGGTGACTATTATTTGAAGTTGCTAATGAAAGAAGGATGATTTCTTCCAATATCTTGGTTGCGGAAGGCACAACCGGAAGATAATATGTAATTGATTTTTCAGAGTAGAAGTATTAGAAGTTCCTCTTAGAAGAAGAGGAGGATGTGCACTGATATCAACTTCATCCTTAATGCTGTCAAGGATTCCGCTTTGGAGGTTAAACGGCAGATGATACGAAGACTTGCACAACTTGCTGAGGCCTTTCAAGCCAATCTGTAGACAATCCTGACGAATGAATTGCATTGATTTTCTAGAATTAAGTTTTAGATTAAGAATTTTTATAGAACTGGATTTATGTAATCGACATTTTATAATTAAAGTCTAAGTATATGGTAACTTTTAAATTTTGTGTGTTTTTTTTTTTTTTCAATTATTATAATCACTTAATTGAAACCAGAAGTTTTATA